TCCTCCTCCTCCTCCTCCGCCTCCGCTCCGCCTCCGCCTCCTCCTCCTCCTCCTCCTCCTCCTCTCCTCTCCTCCGCCTCCTCCGCCTCCTCCTCCTCCTCCTCCTCCTCCTCCTCTCCTCCTCCTCCTCCTCCTCCTCCTTTAAGCGAAGCCACGCGTGCACTAACCGGAGAGGGAGGAAGAGGAGGAGGAAGGAAGACGAGGACGGGGGAAGGACAATGAAGATATCTTTCAATGGCAAAGCGGCCACGCGCACCACCCTGAAGGCGCGGGTCCGGCGGGACGCCGCGCCGCCCGCGCGCGCGCCCAGTGGCGCGCGCGCGTTCTGGCACGCCCTGCTGCCGCACGGATCTGGTGCCGAGCGGAGCAGGGTGCACAGGGAGCGAAGCGGGGTGGGTGGGCACCCGAGTCCTGGCTCGAACTCGAGCCAACGACTACGGACCCAAAATGGCTATGGCAAAGCCCCCGCTTCCCTACGCTTAACCTGCAGTCTACCAACATCACAGACTATACAAGTTAAGCGAAGCCACGCGTGCACTAAACGGAGAGGGAGGAAGAGGAGGAGGAAGGAAGACGAGGACGGGGGAAGGACAATGATTTTTTTTTTTTTCCCCCCTGAGGCTTCAACCACCTTATCTGTCCCGCATTGGGGCTTGCACCCAGGCCGCACATGGCGCTTGCAGCCTGCAACAAGAAAAGGCGCCTAGCAGTCACCCACAAACAGATGGGCGAAGGGAGGCGACGAGGCAAAGGCAGGCTCGAATCCCTGAAGGATTGGGAACCCGAGGCCTAACGCCTGTCTGGACAAACGTGAGACAAGTGCAGCACCTTCGACCAGAGCTAAACAAAAATAGAGCGGCTATTAATCTGAGTCGTCCTGATCAGCTTCGGGATTTGAGCTGGGGACAGACGGAGCGGCGCCAGCCGCGATACAGAGACGACGAACCCTGGCCTGGAACTCGCGTGCCTTCTCTTCCTCCCTCAAACGAACAGCCAACCCACGCTGCGGGAGCATGGGACAAGGGGCAGCAGGCGGAAGAGGAGGAGGGGGCACGGGTTCACTCACAGCCGTGGGCAACACGTCCTGAAACAGATTAGAGCCGTCACGAAGATTAACTCCCAACTGCACCACCACCCCCTTCCTCTTAGGGTGACGGCTCTTGCAGATCTGCTGCCAAACCCAGACTCCGAACTTACTGGGAGGGGGGTCGCAGCGAGCAGCCAGTCCACGGAGGGTACCGTGGGAGGAGTAAAACTTACACTTCATACAAATCACAAGCTCAGACCCGTCGCTACACGGGAACATCACACACTTGTGCTGAAGGGCGGTGAGCTTGTCGGCACTGCAGGCTTTTAAACCAGAACAACGACCAGGAAGGGGTTTCGAACCGTCCCGAGGCCGACGAATCTGGAAACACCGAGAGCAGCGCCAAAAGCCTTCAAACCTAAACCACTTGTGAACGTTACCAGAAGAAGCTTTGGGCACGTTCACCACAGGGAGGTAAGGCACATCTTTGATAGAGCTGAGAGCAGAAAACTCTGGCAGCAACTTAGCCGCGAGCTTGCAGGCAGCCCTGGCAAACTTCACACTCTCGTTAGCTTCTTCCAGCACATTTGAGTCTGAGGGATGAAAAGCAAGGGCCTCCTTAGCCCCTTGGTCGGCCAAGCGATTCCCTAGACGAGCGGCTTCCTCCTGGGCTGAGATGCCATCCTCAGCCAAGGATTGGTGAGCCTTAATTTTGAGCACATCACGAATGTGACGACGCTCGGGCCTGGACAAAAGCTGAACAAAGACACCAGAGTACATACGTTTGAAAAAGGTTTGAGCATCTCTTGGAAACTCATGTTGAGTGACAACGTTGGCACAGTCGGTGATGATCGAGCTGGGGCCAGTGAGACACATGACCGCCCCCCAGTATCCCGAAAACTCGCCGGCTTGAGGGGTCTGGGGGAGCGGGGCCCACACAGGGCATCTCATAGTACACAGCAGCTCATCTTCGTCGGAAAACAAAACCGCACACCATGACGCACGATTCAGCTCTTTTATAACGTGCCGAGAGCAGGAACCGTCAACAAAAACTTTCCCCTGGAGGTTAAAAACATTGTCTGAAGGCGGGTCCCCACGCCACGAGACGTCCCAGGAACCCTCTTCGAGCGGGGGGGGGTGTTCGTCACCAGGATGAGCCAAGATGCCTCGGGTAACCAGGGTCAAGCGATGTCTTCCCTGCGAAACGAAGTCCGTCACCCCGTCGACGATCTCATCCCCCACAGCTTCGCGACGTTTGGCGTCCAAACAAGGACATGCCCATAACCTGTGGTACATAGTGTCACGAGCCTTCCCACACAACTCACAAAACACTGGGAACTCGTACCCTTTGGACCTGGCGTAGATGCGAGTCCACACCGCACCCGTGCTCCAGGCTCGGATAATGCCCTTTTCAAGCGGAGAAAAGCGTTTGGTCGCTAGAGCTTCATGGACGACATCGAGGCAGCCCCGACCAGGGAGAAAAAGCTTACCTCCAATCATCCACTCTAGCTGTCTGAAGACCGCCTCCATGGCGAGACGGCGCACGAGAGCAGGCGACAGGCACAGCAACGGCAGCTCCACGCCGCGATCGTCGATCAGCGTGGCGAAGTTGGGCATCTGCCAACTGATCCTCTCGAGACTTTTCCTCATGGCTGAGATTGGACCTGAAACAGATCTCCAAGACTTGGATTCCAAACCAAAAACCGATCCCCACACTTCTCTCATTTCAGCAA